CGCTTCCCCCTCTACCACGTAACGGAGGTAAGATCCCCCCAGCAGAGAGGGGGCGGAGTCAGTCCCCTCCATGCGATACATTTCAGGATCAGGAATGTTACAATGTATCGCTTCTCATCCTCTGACCTCCGAAATCACAAACCTTCCCTGAGATCCCATGCTGAGACGCTCCATCTCTGAGGTTATTATGGGATGGCCCTAAGTTTGGAGCAGCCTGACAACCAACATTTATTTATTGTTTTAAAGTTTGTGTAGGCCATTGCCGTGCTGTATGTGTATAGGTCATTGCTGTGCTGTATTGTGTATAGGTCATCGCTGTGCTGTATGTGTATAGGTCATCGCTGTGCTGTATGTGTATAGGTCATCGCTGTGCTGTATGTGTATAGGCCATTGCTGTGCTGTATGTGTATAGGCCATTGCCGTGCTGTATGTGTATAGGCCATTGCCGTGCTGTATGTGTATAGGCCATTGCCGTGCTGTATGTGTATAGGTCATTGCCGTGCTGTATGTGTATAGGTCATTGCTGTGCTGTGTAGGTCATTGCTGTGCTGTATGTGTATAGGCCATTGCTGTGCTGTATGTGTAGTCATTGCTGTGCTGTATTGTGTATAGGTCATCGCTGTGCTGTATGTGTATAGGTCATCGCTGTGCTGTATGTGTATAGGCCATTGCCGTGCTGTATGTGTATAGGTCATTGCCAGGGATCCCAACATGAAATAAGGAATTTCAGGGGGGTGCCCTCTCCCCCCCATCCGCGGAGGGGGGTTAGGGGGGCTGGGAGAGAGCACCCCCCTGAAATGATGGCAGATGGCACAGGAAGCAATAGGTTTTAGTATTCTGACAGTTGCAATTGTCAGAATAAAAACCAAAGGCATAGAATGCATCGCTGGATTCCTATTGGCTATTTCACTTTGCAATAGCAAACTAGGTAATGTACCCGCCCCCTGCTGCTTTCAATCACCAGAAGACTCTGCCGGCCGGGATGTGTACTCACCGGCCTAAGCGGCTCCATCGGGTAACGAAGGGAAGGGGGAGGAGTCCAGTGACGTCATGGACATCACCGAACGGAAGACCCGGAAGCCGGCGGAGAGGCAAGTACGGATCAAAAGAACTTTGATCGATCAAAATAATTACCGATTAATCGAGGGATCGTTAATATCCGAAGGCCTGGTAAAAAAATAAAATAAAGTGTAAAATAAAATGATCTAAAAATATATATTTTATACTCTAATAAAATAAATCAAAACTTGTGAAAAAAAAGTGTTTTCTTTACGGTTTTTCCTATTTTTTATTCTAAGTGAGGCGTTAGGTACATGTATGTGATATCATTCTATCGCCCTCTAACATACAACATGTGCGGGGACATGTCCTCTAACATACAACATATAACATGTGCGGGGACATTTAGTAAGAAGGTATATGACTGACGTAGAAGAAATCGCACAGCAACAATGTAACAAGTGTGTACAGAGCTCCTGGGACCACCCTATGAAGGAGCCTATTCCATGTACAGAGCTCCTGGGACCGCCCTATGAAGAGTCTATTCTGTGTACAGAGCTCCTGGGACCACCCTATGAAGGAGCCTATTTGGTGTACAGAGCTCCTGGGACCACCCTATGAAGAGCCTATTCCATGTAGAGAGCTCCTAGGACCACCCTATGAAGAGCCTATTCCATGTAGAGAGCTCCTGGGACCACCCTATGAAGAGCCTATTCCATGTACAGAGCTCCTGGGACCGCCCTATGAAGAGTCTATTCTGTGTACAGAGCTCCTGGGACCGCCCTATGAAGAGTCTATTCTGTGTACAGAGCTCCTGGGACCACCCTATGAAGGAGCCTATTTGGTGTACAGAGCTCCTGGGACAGCCCTATGAAGGAGCCTATTCCATGTACAGAGCTCCTGGGACCACCCTATGAAGGAGCCTATTCCATGTACAGAGCTCCTGGGACCACCCTATGAAGGAGCCTATTCCATGTACAGAGCTCCTGGGACCACCCTATGAAGGAGCCTATTCCATGTACAGAGCTCCTGGGACCACCCTATGAAGGAGCCTATTCCGTGTACAGAGCTCCTGGGACCACCCTATGAAGGAGCCTATTCTGTGTACAGAGCTCCTGGGACCACCCTATGAAGGAGCCTATTCCATGTACAGAGCTCCTGGGACCACCCTATGAAGGAGCCTATTCCATGTACAGAGCTCCTGGGACCGCCCTATGAAGGAGCCTATTTGGTGTACAGAGCTCCTGGGACAGCCCTATGAAGAGCCTATTCTGTGTGCATAGCTCCTGGGACCACCCTATGAAGGAGCCTATTCCGTGTACAGAGCTCATGGGACCACCCTATGAAGGAGCCTTTTCCGTGTACAGAGCTCCTGGGACCACCCTATGAAGGAGCCTATTCCATGTACAGAGCTCCTGGGACGACCCTATGAAGAGCCTATTCCGTGTACAGAGCTCCTGGGACCACCCTATGAAGGAGCCTATTCCATGTACAGAGCTCCTGGGACAACCCTATGAAGGAGCCTATTCCGTGTACAGAGCTCCTGGGACCACCCTATGAAGGAGCCTATTCTGTGTACAGAGCTCCTGGGACCACACCCTATGAAGGAGCCTATTCCATGTACAGAGCTCCTGGGACCACCCTATGAAGGAGCCTATTCCATGTACAGAGCTCCTGGGACAACCCTATGAAGGAGCCTATTCTGTGTACAGAGCTCCTGGGACCACCCTATGAAGGAGCCTGTTCTGTGTACAGAGCTCCTGGGACCACCCTATGAAGGAGCCTGTTCCATGTACAGAGCTCCTGGGACCACCCTATGAAGGAGCCTGTTCCATGTACAGAGCTCCTGGGACCACCCTATGATTGGTTACACTTACTTCTTCCTCCGGCGGCCGTAGAGCTCCCGGCGCAGTTCCCGTGAGATGGGTTTCAGATGCATGAAGTTGCAGAAGCCGCCACGTGTGCATTCCCTGTGGAGACAGATGTCATTAGTCCGTGTGCGAGATCGGACAGGTGGCCCCTTCATCTACAACGGGCCCCAGGAGACACTCACCCCATCTCATACTGGCGGCAGCACGCCTCCCGAAAGTCGGTGACCGGGGAAAGTTCGGCGTGAATGGGCTGACCGTTAAACCAACGATTGTTCAAATCCTTCACGGCCTTCTCGGCGTCTTCCTCCCGTCTGAACTGTGAGAGGAACGCAAAACATATGTCATCCCGACCACGGGGGGCCACAGAGTTCAGGAGCCAGTCATGGCATGCCATCCCGACCACGGGGGGCCACAGAGGTCAGGAGCCAGCAATAAAAAAAACCGAGCGGCCGGTCCGTATACGAAGAGGCCGAGCGGCCGGTCCGTATACGAAGAGGCCGAGCGGCCGGTCCGTATACGAAGAGACCGAGCGGCCGGTCCGTATATGAAGAGGCCGAGCGGCCGGTCCGTATACGAAGAGACCGAGCGGCCGGTCCGTATATGAAGAGGCCGAGCGGCCGGTCCGTATATGAAGAGGCCGAGCGGCCGGTCCGTATGAGATGCGATAGAGACCACACACATTATTACACGGGGTGTATATGGCGCCAGCAGTGTGCGCAGCGCTGTACAACATAAGGAAGACATTACAGTCACAAGACAAGAGGGTGAGGAGGCTCCGCCCCTGAGGGCTTACACTCTAAAAGAGGAGGGGCCAGTGATACAGGAGGAGGGAGCGGTGTGGGGATGAATTGTTTGAGAGCACTGGACACTCACCTTGACGTAGACGTTCCCCACCAGATGGTCCCCTAAATTATCACAGACGTTCATCTCCTCCACCTCCCCGTACTTCTCCTCCATCTCAGTGAAGACTTCCTGCGGAAACATGTCCGTATGAGACCATACGCAGTACAGACCGGTCCCCATCCCCAGTACGAGACCATACGCAGTACAGACCGGTCCCCATCCCCAGTACGAGACCATACACAGTGCAGACCGGTCCCCATCCCCAGTATGAGACCATACACAGTACAGACCGGTCCCCATCCCCAGAACGTCTCCCCTCTGCGCTCCCCGACAAGGCTTCCCCCAGGAAACGTCTCCCCTCTGCGCTCCCCGACAAGGCTTCCCCCAGGAAACGTCTCCCCTCTGCGCTCCCCGACAAGGCTTCCCCCAGGAAACGTCTCCCCTCTGTGCTCCCCGACAAGGGTTCCCCAAGTACTAAGTCACGTTCTGCTTCCGGATCAAATACTTATTTGACTCCCTGAACTGCGACTCCATTTATAACATTTGTGTCATGTGACCTCTCTGGGTATTTGGTGGATATTATGTCTCCGATTATACAAACTATAGACATATATAGTGAGAGTTCGGGGTACAGTGCGGGAGGGCAGAGCTCAGGGTACAGAGTTCGGGGTACAGTCAGGGCGGGAGGGCAGAGCTCGGGGTACAGTGCGGGAGGGGGTGCAGAGCTCAGGGAAATGTCAGCCTTGGCCTAGTAGTTGAGGCCTAGCCGATGGATGGCGGCTTTTTAGTGTGAGGTGAATGACTTTGCGGGGACCCGTGTAAGCTGTTGGAGGTGTTCCCGCCCTCTAGCCGGCTTCTCAGCCCCATCTTCGCACTACTTACTTGTCCTTTTCTGTGCCGAAGATCGAAGCCAGATACTCCGCCATCTTCCCTCCTCTCCGCGCTGCTCAGCTCCTCACTGCCTTGCGCCTCCGAAAGACGTCATCAGTGAGCGACAAAAGGGCGGCCGTACGACATAGAGCGGAGGATATTCAAGGGGTGTGTTCTGTGACGTTATACGCTTTGTACTTCTTTAGTGTGAGCGGTTTAGAGCTAGAGGCGGGGCTTAGAGAAGAGGCGGGAATACAGAATGGGACAAGTAGGAAGGCGGGGAAATGGATATGATTGGCTGCTGTGTTGGGTGACGTGATTGTCTTTTTAACAGTGGATAATCTGTAGAAAGGATAACGATCGTTATTAAAGCGATGTGATCTCGGTTTTAATTTGTCGGTATAGAAGGAATATTTCAGACAATCCCCGACTTCTCCTCATATACAGAGCGGAATACACAACAATCATCTCCTCCAATCAAAGGGTCAGGAAATCACGGGCGGCAGGAAAATGTTACTATGGAGGGGGCGGGGATGGATCAGAAGTGAACTTGGTGGAGTGAAGTGTGAGGATGAACATGACATATGACTAGGCGGTGCTCGGGAAGACTTCTCGATTACGTCACTTCCGGTGACAGCTTCAGCCGTTCTCAAAGCGGGATCGCTCACTGCGCATGCGCCAGATCTTACTGAGGAGAGTTCCCTTCACTGCGCATGTGCGGCCCGCCATATAAAGAATATTCCGAATTCATACACAAAAAAAGAGAAAACCAATATACATCCACCTACAAGCCCCGGGTGCCTCCTTTACACAATAATCAGAACATTGGGTCCGAAAGATTCACATAAGGCTAGGTTCACAGCGCAGCAACACCCGGGACCGCGCGCTAGTGCACACAGCGGTTGCCTCGCGGCCCTTTTGATTTCGATGGCGTGACATCCGCGTGGCAATCGCTAAAAAAGGAACAAGTAGATTTTGTTGTGACACATGACGCGCGGCTTGATCTGCCAGGCGCGATTGGGGTGGCATTAAAAAATAATGGCACCCACAGCTAGGGTTGCCACCGGTCCGGGATTCACCCGGACAGTCCGGGTTTTGAATGCTGTGTCCGGGTTTCATGGCAGCAGAAACATGGACGCAAGATGTCAGGCAGACAGACCAAAATTAAGATTGGGGCTACTGGCTACCCATTGAAAATAGACTCAACTGTGATATTTACATATGAATGGGCGGAGCTACTTACATATGAATAAGCCGCAACTCATTCTCCCAAGAAAAACATGTCAGCGCGTTGCTAGAATGTTCGGGTTTTGCTTGAAGAAAAGGTGGTAACCCTACATACAGTACGATCAGCTGCGGTGGGCGACTCGGTCACAATCCGCACGATTGCTGCGCGGTCTGGAGAAATCGTCCCGGTGTGAAGAGGTCAGAGGTTTCCCCAGAGTTCTCTTTAGGGTCACCGGAGGACATATACTGACCTCCTCCTGTGACCCAAAGCTCAGTATACGCTATATTGCCAGAAGTATGGGGCTCCGGCCTTTACACGCACATGAACTCTAATGGCCCCCAGTCTTAGTCCGTAGGGTTCAGTATTGAGTTGGCTCCGCCCTTTAATGGTCCCCCCAGTCTTAGTCCGTAGGGTTCAGTATTGGGTTGGCTCCGCCCTTTAATGGTCCCCCCAGTCTTAGTCCGGAGGATTCAGTATTGGGTTGGCTCCGCCCTTTAATGGTCGCCCAGTTTTAGTCCGTAGAGTTCAGTATTGGGTTGGCTCCGCCCTCTAATGGCCCCCCAGTCTTAGTCCATAGGGTTCAGTATTGGGTTGGCTCCGCCCTTTGCCGCTATAACAGCTCCGCCTCTTCTGGGAAGG